GATAGGTAAAGATCAATTACTGCTTAAGTTTGTTGCTAAAGACGGTAATATAAGCTTTTTTAAAAAGCTCTACTTGTAGAAGAATATTCTATTGTCAAGGATCTGATTTTCCTATTTTCTTTTGATGAATGTTGTTGCCATGGTAGCTAAAATTGAAAATATTGTAAAATTTTTATTAAAAGCAATATGTACTCCTACAATTGTAGTCTTATTAATACTGCAATATATATATACTTATGCATAAATAACTTTTGCAAATAAACGCCGAAACGGGTGCACAAGAGTTCTTACTTACATGTAGTCCTCTAATACTACACTACATACAAGATGATGTCCGTAAACTATATTTAGATTTCACTCGGAAAGTAGGTATCGTCAAGGCCGTAACTACCATTGAGGCAAGTGAGGCAAATGCCTCACTAATTTTTTTGAGTTTTCTGAAAAGTTTTACCTTGGAACTCATGAGTTATGTGTGTCTTAGTGCTAAATTAATTTTTCAACTTTTGTTGAAATCTCTCATCTCACAAGGTGCCTCATTTTCAATTAGAACACATGTAATTTATTATACAAAATGTTTGTTTGTTATTGTTTGATTGTGTAACACCCCTTCTAAGAATTTCTCATTCATATTGAGACACCACTTCTTACTGTTTGAGGGCTGCAAGTTTTAAATCCTGTAGTGGGCTTTTAGGGTCACTGAAGATGATTGAACACTGAGAGATCTTTTTTGTGCCATTACTTACTGAGACATAGGAGAAGAACCGGTCTCTACATCACGCAGTGGGATTCAAACCCGCGATGTAAGGATCAACTCCTTAGTCTGCAATTGTGGAGCATACGCTCTAACCACTGCGCCATGCGGGCGACAATTCATACCGTTAAAACTTCCTAAGATTTATTAAATCCTTTATTTTCTAATACCCAGGTTTCATGATCCCCCTCCCCCTGGAAACCCCCACCACTGGACATCAAGTGCCGTCTGGGACTAGGAATGCCCAGGACCCTTGCCTCACAAAAAATTTGAGCCTAGTTACGGCCTTGATCGTACATAAGATTAAAAGTCTACTTCAATTTTCTGAAAACAGCCATGAAATAGCATCAACGTAAGTATGGTGGCGTTTCCGGTTGGCGGATCTAAGCTACTGGCAATTTTTATGAAACTGGCAACAAACAATCGATTATTTATTTCATAACATGTCATCACTGCATTATTCAATCAAAACTTGATTTAAATAAATTAAAAGAAATAAGTTGTGGTATCCGATTAAAAAGCGAAAAATGCAAATAATTTTTGTCAATCTCTGATCTACATATTGACGTAAGTTTCTAGAACATCATGAAATGTTTAAAATTATCCCCTTTTACTACTTGTTTTAATACAAAAATAATTGTAAATAACGTTATTAACGGTTTATTTGATTAAATACTTTTACAACAAATGATGTTATATAAATTTAAATACAATAAAAACTATTATAGTTTTTATACTATATAAAAAGAGCAAAGTATGCTTGAAAATTATCAGAAACATATTGTTGCCGGGAAAGCCACTAATACACATGTATTTATTAATACAAGGATTATAAAAATAGACAAATGACAATTCCATTTAATATGACAGGAATACCTTAGTTGAAAACATAATATTACGACAGCAAGGAATGTCAAAAGTTAATGACAAAAGAAAATTTTATAAGGAAATACAGTGTATATATGGAAAGACTATAATTTATAGCGAGATTCGCGAAGCGACCTCAATAGACGAACGTGTAAGAACAGAGGAAATTCGGAATGACATCTGCAAATTTCTCTGTGAAACATTTCCAGAATTCCTTTACTACCCAATGTCCTTTGCGCGAATAAATCAATAAATAATAGCGTAAAGCATAAAAGGCTTTCAGTTTGTAGAAATCATTCAAAGAAACATAAAATAACTCTGCAATGTTTTTCGACCAATAGTGCACTATGCAATTTGTACATTGTAATTAATTTGCTAACAATAAAAGAGAAAACTTACGAATAAGGTATTGTTCAAATACAATTAAAGCTGTAAAGTGCTGTGCTTCAATAAAGACATTTCAGTTTTTTTTTCTTCTTAAAAAAGTCTTTTGTATCAGTTACTAGGCCTATTCACTAGGCGCCGGGGGGGGGGGGGGGGGGCATAAGCTAATTTGTACACGAGTATTTGGGTTTTCCTTTATGATTATGTACATGTATGTACCTTATTGATATGTAAAAAGCCTTTTACTTGTCAATAAGGGTACATGTATAATTATAAACCAAGACCCAAATATACGTGGCTTGTGAACTTTGACACCCCTCCCCAACCCCCCAAAATCAGTATATTTGTAAATTGTATATATTCGCTGCTTTAATCCTTCATGAAAATGGAAAAAGAAATCTGAATTGCAATATCCATAACACTGTACATGTACATGCATGAGGGTGCTAACAATAAAAGAGAAAACTTACGAATAAGGTATTGTTCAAATACAATTAAAGCTGTAAAGTGCTGTGCTTCAATAAAGACATTTCAGTTTTTTTTTCTTCTTAAAAAAGTCTTTTGTATCAGTTACTAGGCCTATTCACTAGGCGCCGGGGGGGGGGGGGGGGCATAAGCTAATTTGTACACGAGTATTTGGGTTTTCCTTTATGATTATGTACATGTATGTACCTTATTGATATGTAAAAAGCCTTTTACTTGTCAATAAGGGTACATGTATAATTATAAACCAAGACCCAAATATACGTGGCTTGTGAACTTTGACACCCCTCCCCAACCCCCCAAAATCAGTATATTTGTAAATTGTATATATTCGCTGCTTTAATCCTTCATGAAAATGGAAAAAGAAATCTGAATTGCAATATCCATAACACTGTACATGTACATGCATGAGGTTTCACATAAACGTCAATTAAAGAAAGTTTTCACAAAAAGTGGGTGGGGATGATGACGTACATCTACTTCATGCGGGATTTTTAACTAAGTATTTCTTCCCTCTATAAGTCAGTAGTCTTTCAGTAAAATCTACAATTTACAACTACAATATTTTTTAATTTTCTGTTGTAAGGGTAACTATAAATAAATTAAATTCCCCGCACTTGCGCGGGTGTTTATCTAGTTGCCACAAAAGATACTTAATCAAGGATCATTATTATTTTTAATTGCTGAATTAAAGTTTCAGGTCTCAGTTGCTACTTTTCTCTTCCTTTGTTATAAGTATAAACCAGAGGAGCCACAGTTTTTTTTTTATATGTTTAGCTTTTGCGGACAGATTGGTCTTGAGGTTATGAAATTAAATACAAACACAAATTTAAATCAACAAAATACAAATCTTTGAAACACAATTTACTCTTCTGGAATCCGCTTTGTTTAAAAAGAGTTAGTACTATTTGTTTGTATCAATAAAGTAGGAGTTCACTTAAGTTACAATGTGATTATTTGATTGATTGTATATTGTTTAACGTCCCTCTAGAAATTTTTTCACTAATATGGAGACGCCACCACTTGAGAAATTCTATAAATGTCCTTAACATTTTCCCATACGAAAATGTGTAGTTGACCGTCAACTAGCCGTCAACTGATAATGCGAAAACAGTTGACCACTCGGAGTTGAATGCTTTTCTGAAAAGCGATCAACTGATTTGCATAAAACGGCCAGGTGACCGTTAGTTGAATGCTACAGTGTAATACTTTGAAATTTCATGCAAAACAAGAGTTGACCACTAGTTGAACACTCCGACTTGTTAGAAAATTTCTCCCACGCTACATTTATGTTGGGTTCAAAATTACATTATCATAGATCGGGTTTGTTTTACCATAATTACAACAACCAAGATTTGAATCAGTACATGTGTGTTTTCTGTAGAAGGTGGGAATTTTGATTTGAAACATTATTGTCTTCGTGATGATTCAGCTTGTGAAATATATCTCATGTACTATTGTAAGTATATAAACCGAAAGATTTGTTTTACTTAGCTTGTTATTTTTAAACAGATAATAGGGATACAAAACACTGTAGCCAGTATAGGTCCCTATTTTTGTGTACTTTAATAAATATTGAAAGAATTCTGAAAACTTGTCATGCGTCAAGTGATTTGTTGTGTTTCTGTTGGTAAAAATATACCATTGCTTTAGACTAATTCTTTTCTGCACAAAAAATGAAGAAGGCATGTAACAACTTATGAGAGTGTGTCAGCTCAATTCATTTATATTAAATGCATTTAGATTTACAAGTACATTTGTATCAATTTAGAAACTCCATTGTTTTGACTTTTGATATTTTCAAGAACACTGCTTTTCTAATTAAGATTTCAAATCTCCCACCATTTTTCAAATATATTTAATGAATGCAACCTACGTGCACTGTCTAATGGAGTATTCAACTAGCGGTCAACTGCAAAGGAAATAGTGGAGTATTCAACTAGCGGTCAACCGTTAAAGAAATAGAGGAGTATTCAACTAGCGGTCAACTGCAAAGGAAATAGAGGAGTATTCAACTAGCGGTCAACTGCAAAGAAAATAGAGGAGTATTCAACTAGCGGTCAACTACAAAGAAAATAGAGGAGTATTCAACAGTGGTCCACTCTATGCTAATGAGTTGATCGCTCCCTCATTTGCATGGCAAAAATTCAACTAATGGTCAATTGACGGTCAGTTGACCGTCAACTAGTAGTCAACTGAATACTCCGATTGAATTCTAATAGTATTTTTTCATATGGGTTGTGTTTTCCCTATTAGTTTGCGTGCTTTTTTCGAATAGAAAGAAGGGTTTTCCATTTTGGATGGACGCTAAGCAAAAAAAAAAAAAAAAAAAAAAGAAAAAACTTGAAATGGCCTAATCAGTCAAATGTCAAAGATCTATTAGAAAATTCTGTGCTTTGCTGAATAATTATGTTAAATTCTTAATAGATACATGTAATTATGGTTACTTGATAGAAAAATATGTCAACTTGAAGGACGACACTCACTGAAACTGTTAATCATGTGATATGTTTACCTATTGACTCTAATTCTTTACAAACGTCTCTGAGGTTCCTTTGTAGTGCATCGAGCTCTGTAAGCAGATACATTAAAAGTTTTTTTTACTTCCTTCCACATCAAATCTGATTGCATGTTATGCCAAGACAGATTTGTTTCTATTTTTAAAAACATTTTTCCACCATTTTTTCTTACAGTGAAAGCTGCTGTTGAATTAAATTGATTCAAAGATTTGTTTCTTTTTACCTTTATTTTTTCTACTGTTTTCCTTTTCTAACAATGAAAGCTGCTGTTGAAGAGCACTCAGTTGTTGTTTGGTCTCTTCTGACTGATTCTGGATAATGTCTTTCATCGAAGCCATTTCTTCTTGCAGGTCACTGATAGAACCATTTGACATGCAAGCTACATGTTGCAGTCCAAACATAGAAAATATTAACAACCATATACTCTTCATGACGACTTGCAGTAAAATAAAGATTCTTATCTGCGTAGACTTTGATTCTTCGTCGTTCACAGTACGAGTCATGTCCTCTGATTTATATATCAACCAAGGAATCTACGGAGGATATTATGCATATCCTCATTCCATCAACAACATTTATATTCAGTGAAAAAGTGTTCCGATCTCCGTTGTGGAACCTGTCATTACATGAAAACTAGAAGTACCTTTAATTTCGGGAATAAAAACGTAATTTATTGTATTACATGAAACTGGAACCACACTACATACACGTGCCCGTAAACACAAACAGCATATTATCCAGCCTGAATGCAGAAAAATAAATGTAAGCGGACATCTTGGTATTTGTGGCCGGGGACAATTTTCAGTCTTTCCGTTTAATAACACTTTATACAGACAATCTAGTTCAAAGACGAGAATAGGAGAAATACTTTATAAAAGTGTTAAAACCAACACTAAGTAGATCCTCTACACATTTTTATATATTTCCCATACGAAAATGTGTAGTTGACCGTCAACTAGCCGTCAACTAACCGTCAACTAGTCGTCAACTGATAATGCGAAAACAGTTGACCACTCGGAGTTGAATGCTTTTCTGAAAAGCGATCAACTGATTTGCATAAAACGGCCAGTTGACCATTAGTTGAATGCTAATACTTTGAAATTCCATGTAGAACCAGAGTTGACCACTAGTTGAATACTCCGACTTGTTAGAAAATTTCTCCCACGCTACATTTAATATGTTGTGTTCAAAATTACATTATCATAGATCGGGTTTGTTATACCATAATTACAACAACCAAGATTTGAATCAGTACATGTGTGTTTTCTGTAGAAGATGGGAATTTTGATTTGAAACATTATATTGTCTACGTGATGATTCCGCGTGTGAAATATATCTCATGTACTATTGTAAGTATATAAAATTTTAAGATTTGTTTTACTATGTTTGTTATTTTTAAACAGATAATAGGAATACAAAAAACTCTAGCCAGTATAGGTCCCTAAACTCCCTATTTTTGTGTACTTTTTTAAATATTGAAAGAGTTCTGAAAACTTGTCATGCATCAAGTGTTTCGTTGTGTTTCTTGTTGTGTTGGTAAAAAATATACCGTTGCTTTAGACTAAATCTATATACATGTAACCTAGCTTTTCTGCCCAGAAAATTAAGAAGGCATGTAAGAACTTAGGAGAGTGTGCCAGCTCAATTCATTTATAATGCATTTAGATTTACAAGTACATTTATGTCAAATTAGAAACTATATTGCTTTGACTTTTAATATTTTCAAGAACACTGTTTGTCTTAAATTTCAAATCTCCCTCCATTTTTTTCAAATATTGAATGAAAGCAACCTACGTGCACTGACTAATGGAGTATTCAACTAGCGGTCAACTGCAAAGGAAATAGAGGAGTAATCAACTAGCAGTCAACTGTAAAGGAAATAGTGGAGTATTCAACTAGCGGTCAACTGCAATGGAAATAGAGGAGTAATCAACTAGCGGTCAACTGCAAAGAAAATAGTGGAGTAATCAACTAGCGGTCAACTGTAAAGGAAATAGTGGAGTATTCAACTAACGGTCAACTGCAAAGAATATATAGGAGCATTCAACAGTGGTCCACTCTATGCAAATGAGTTGACCGCTCCCTCATTTGCATGGCAAAAATTCAACTAATGGTCAATTGACGGTCAGTTGATCGTCAACTAGTAGTCAACTGAATACTCCGATTGAATTCTAATAGTATTTTTTCATATGGGTTTGTATAACACAGACATTTGTATGCAACTACAAGGTTGATTTTCTTTTAACTCATTTAAGGTAGAACCTATGTTGGAAAAGTCTTTGTCACAAGATTTTTAAAACTTTTCCAAATGATAAATTCGTACTTGCTTATCAATCAGTTAAAAGCTCAAGATATGTTTCCTTATTTTTAAATGTAGTACAGTCTCTGAAACTTGGAATGTTAATTAAATAATGTGACTACACATTTTCAGTTTTTAGGGGTACTTGTTCAGAAGAGAATATAAAAAAAATTAAAATACTTCTTCAAACATAGTCGTTAATAGACTTAACTAGACGGTATTAAGCAATATTTTTCAAGAATATTTTTTTTTTATTCAATTCACATTAAAGTATCCCCGTGTGGATCCGGGTTAGAATAGGTCCTCAGTACCCCCTTAAAGGGCGACTAAATAGGGCGGTCCTTCGGATGAGACCGTATAAACCGAGGCCCCGTGTCACAGCAGGTGTTGCACGATAAAGATCCCTTCCCTGCTCAAAGGCCGTAAGTGCCGAGCATAGGCCTAAATTTGCAGCCCTTCACCGGCAATGGTGACGTCTCCATATCAGTGAAATATTTTGGAGAGGGACGTTAAACAGTATACAATCAATCAATCAATCATAAAAGTAAAGTCCACATTTAGAAAAAAAAAATAAGCAAATGAACTCTATTTTTAGTCAATTTTCCACCCAACATTTGTCGATATTTTTCAGAAATCTTTGTCACAAGGTTTTCAAACTTTAATATGAGGATGAACATACCCAAATGATTGCAAAAAAAGATTGAAATATATACCTATCGCCGCCAATTAATAAAAAATAGGGTATATACCAATGCAAATATTCTTGACCTTTTTGCACTTACACGGGATTTAATTTATTTATTAAGTGACTGTTTGTGATTACTTTCAGATTAAAAATCTTAACGTTGTTCAAAAATTGTACTTATTTATTTAAAAGATCATGTCTGAGAGAAAAATTTAAAAATCAAACACCAACCATTAAAAATATATATGAATAAGTAACAAATAATTATACTTTAAACATATTTTAATGAATAATTCAATGAGGATTGGGCAACAGGCATGGTCTATGTACACCCTCACCTTAAACAAATAATTATGAGAAGGAATGCACATCATTTCATGATAGATATCACAAAATGTACACACAATCTACAACACGTAGATTGTCTTTGACTTAGACACATTTCATCAAGATGTTTTACTATTTAGTGGGCAACTGAAGATTTATTTTTTTTTTTAGGATTTTTGCATTCCTTCAAAACAATAAACATATCATTCACATTATTACAATACTTTACATATATACTGTAATTTCATTACAGGAGATTGGATTTGTCAGTTTAATTAATGTACTGATCTAGAAAATGAAAGGTGCCATCATGTTTCTCTAACTCAAGAAATATATTGTCATTAAGCTTTATAACCAAAAATATAATTAAATATTATGGATTCTGTTGAAGATTACGCCAGAATGGGCCAGGTATGAAAAAGAAAACGTTGAAACTTTGTCAGAATGGATTAAATGTATAAGGTCCATGTTAAAATCGCCTATTAAAAGATTGAGGGACAATATGATAACCATCTGTTCTTCTATATTCAATAATCCATAAGTGAAAAAAAGAATAAGATAGATTACATGATCAATATGTACTGGTCCCTGCTGAGAAAGCAGGTAACAAAATTGTCTTTGTTCCTGCTGAGAAAGCAGGTAACAACATTGTCTTTGTTCGTTATGCTCATTCTTTAAATTGTATTTTAGAAGAACTTGGATTTTATTTCACAAGTGGTTATCCAATTTAAAGTAATAGTTCCCTTTCTAAGGAATAAATTCTTCAAAATCATATGTCAGTTTCGCATATTTTCTAATATCCCGAAGAACCAAAATAATTTTGAACTAGCATATATATATATTTATCCCATGTTTAACCCTTTATCCCGTTGATATAGCTCATGTGATATCGTTTTCATATCACACAGTTGTGACGTCACAATGGATTTTGCGTTAGAGTGATGAAGTAAAATGAAATGGAGTCCTATATAAAAACAGTGTCAAACATTGTTCGTCTTGTTAAAAACATGGGATAAAAAGAATCTCACATGTTTTTGTAGTTGGATATGATTTTTATCCAACTCGTTGTGTTTTTTTATTCCCTCGCCAAGGCTCGGGGATAAAATCCACACAACTCATTGGATAAAAATCATATCCAACTACAGATCATTTGAGATCCTATATATATATATATATATATATATATATATATATATATATAAAAAGCACTAAAAAACCAACAACACTGTATATCCTAAATGTCGGATCTACCAAGTAGATACAAGGTCACGGATGGAAATTTATACAAAGCACTAAAAATGACCAACGACACGAACAATAAAAAATTGTCTCAATTTTTTATTGTTCGTGTCGTTGGTCATTTTTAGTGCTTTGTATATATATATATACATATATATATATATATATATATATATATATATATATATATATATATATATATATATATATATATATATACGTTGATAAGATAAATCCTTGGTACAGTAAAAAAAACTTAAATAAATAAAAACAGAATGCTGCAGTCCATATTAAATAAAATCTTTACTGTTAGCGCTTTCAGCCATGTTGGCTCTTCAGACAGTTACAAAAAATTCAAAACGTTGTCAATAACGTTGCTAATGACGTCGTGATAACTTAAGGCATTATGACGTCACAATGTAGTTTGTGGTAGCGGCTGCATGAACTTTTTCAACGCAGTCAAAGAATGTATAATTAAACATAGAAATAAAATAAGTTTTGTGAATTATACATAATCTCATTTGCAATTCAGTTTTGGTTTAAAAAGTCATATAAAGTAGTCCTCTTTGGTAACACGGGCGATTTCATCCGATGTCCACATTTTATAGATAGGGAAAATCTTAAATTTCCCTTTCCCACACTCGGCGAAATGTTCTGAACAAGGGGTGCATCTGACAGTTTCGTCCCGTATATGTTGCTTGTGTACCCTCACTCGTGCGTTAAGTTGATTTGTCTGCCCTATCTAATACTCGCCACAGGTTGGGCATGTTGCACAGTAAATCAAATTTGAAGATTTACAATTCATACTGGTATTAGGTTTTAAAACTTTCCCGTTTTTAAGTGTAATTTGTTCGCCCTCCTAAATGAAATCACACGTTCCACATCGGGGGTCACTACACTTTTTGACGACACTCTGGTTACTAGAGGAAAATTTTGCTTTGGTTAATATCCTCTTTAGGTTTGGTGCTTGTCTTCTGCTGTTAATAATTGACGATTTATCCAGAAGATTTTTCATGTTTTCAGATTGTTCTAATATTGGATAAAATCGCTTTGCTGAATTGAGAATATTGTGGTTACGGGGGTTGTGAGTTATCACAAATGGAATATTCTCTTCGTCGTTTTCCTCGGGATGGCGAATATTTCGTAATTGGGTTATAGGTATGTCTTTTGCCCGGTTCATTCCGTCCTCAATAAGGTTCATTGGGTAATTTTGTCGCGTCAGGTGTTGTTTTAGTTCTTGGAGCCTTTTTAATCGTAGAGAAGAATCGGTCACGATTGTACAAATACGTCTCGCCATATTGTATGGAATGTTCCTTTTTGTATGTGACGGATGGCAGGAGCGAAAATCCAAGTATTGATGGGTATCTGTTTCTTTACAGAATAGGTCTGTAGAAATATCCTCCCCGTTTTTTATTATAAGTATATCAAGGAAAGGAAATGAGTCCCGATTCATGTCACTTGTGAAATTAATTGAATCGTGTAACTCATTTATGACCGAATGGAATTTTTTAAGATCCTCTTCACTCTTTGTCCAAAAGATGAAGCAATTGTATAGCTCAGCAACAAATTAAACCATCTGTTGTAACGATTTATTCCAATGTTTCAACCTGAATTTATAATAAAACAAAATATAATCACATTATGACGATAACGTCGTTCCGTAGATTTTTCAGAGCAGCGAGGGTTATACCAGTCTAGCCGAACTCAAAAAACGACGTGAACTCCAAAAAAGAAGTCTTTGGCTCCGTCATGCATTGCGGCAAAATGGCTTCCGATGTAAACAAACGATGGATTGTCGTTCGCTTTCTCCACAAATACGACTGAATAATGGCTGTATTTAGTAAACTGTGACTGGATTTCAATTTTTGTTGAATAAATAATTGTACCCATTAAATTATTAAGTGGTTATTGACTTATTTATCGCTCTGTATTCTTGCATAATAGTGATTTGGGATATACGTACGACACCGGGATTCAATAAAGTCGGTAAGAATTAATTTTCTAACTTAATTTATTGTCCCCTTGATTTAAATTTTATGCCATTCCTACTATAAAGATCCTTAAATTTTACTTCTAAGACACTTATATATTTTTTTTATGAAAAACCGCACAATTTTGGCGGCGGAGCAGAGATATTAACAGGTTCGATTTGAGAAGACTTTTTAACCGTAATTTTAAAAGAATGATTTTTTTTAAGTTCTTAAACTCATAGATTATAATTCTAAAATGTTTTCATGATTATATCTATTCATATGTGAAAACATTAGGTATATAGCGATGGTGATAACTAACTAACGCTCTCAATATTCAGATGTCATACAGGATTATATGACGAAATAATATTACAAATAGGTAAAAATTCGGTCAATGTTTAACAGTTACAACATATATATATTACATTGTTCAATTTTACATATTTTTCCCTTTTATTATATATTTAATTCCCAAACGTTTATTTTTCTTTGTATTTGATCTAACTTGAAACGTGAACTTTCTTCAAAAAAGCCTCGGAGGAAATGTGGAAACTGAATGGATTCTCATGTAACTGTCACCTGATCGACTCTTATTTATGATTAAAACCATCAATTCAGTACTTTTTTTAATTATTGGTAAGATGTATTTACAATGCAGTTGCTCATTGCTGATCTAAACATGCTGAAATTTATTCGTACACGATAGACATGAAAGACAGAGGAAATTCGAACTGAAAATTCGCCAGCGTTCCTTACTTACAAAATAAACTTCTAAAATCAGTAAAAGTAGTTCTAAAATGACTAACTTAGTCACTACAGACAAATTATCAACCACAGAGATGTTTTCATAAGATTACGACTGTTTAATTTGTATTTTGTATCCTACTTGTATGATGTCTGGCTGAACCTCGAAGTTGGTCAACTTTGACTTGAAATTAAAAACTATTTGCACATGAAATCAAAATTCTAACAAATACGTTCTCTAAAACAATTTATTATTAATCATTTCTGAGAACTTACATTATTGTAAGGTAATCCAATTTTTTGCAAAAACACTTTTTATAAGAGCCCACTTTTCACGATTTTTCACCGTTTTTTTTTATATAACTGCGCATGCGTTGGACTCGTTTTTTGGAGTCTTTTCTGGACTGAAATTCTCACTTCCGTTAACGCCGTTTTTGGAGTTCGTCTAGACTGTATACTGAATGCCACTGTATAGTTTAACAACACAATAATTACAAATCTATATATAATCATTGGTCCGTACTTCGCGTTAGTCACAAAAACAGTGTCTACTCACACATTGATGGATCCAAAATTAATATTACTGAGCTATAATGTCACAAACACAGGATCGTCTATCCACAGGTAAACAAAACAAACTTCCGTTGACTGTAAACAATGAAAAATAATGTCCGACTCTAAAAGTTCCGGAATATCGTTAACGATACACTCCCCCGACGTTTCTTGACAAGTTCACAACTAATCACATTCATCCACTGGTAGTATAACTACAAGTCTATGAACAGATCTGCGAATGACAGTGTCAGTACACCCGTCATACTTTGCACCTGGTCCCACGTTCTTGTATCGCACTGTGACGTCTCGTACCTTTCCGTCTGTTCCAGGCTCTGCCTCGGCAATTTGAGCAAGTTTCCACTTTCCACGAATTAGATTTGTATCCTGGACTAACACAAGATCACCCTGCTTCAGATTTCTCCTGATTGTATGCCACTTCTGTCTCACAATAAGAGTGGGAAAGTAATCTCTAATCCATCTTTTCCAAAAGGTATCAACCAGCTGTTGAATGAATTTCCATCTCAATCGTGGATTGCAACGTTCTTCCATTTGCATCTGAGGAACCCGAACAGTGGATCTCCCTAACAGTAAATCATTCGGGCATAAGTACGTTCCTTCGTTTGGGTCACACACCTTGGTCCCGATAGGTCTCTCATTTATTAAATTCGCAGCTTCAAACAACACAGTTTGCAACTCTGAAAACGTTAAAATTGAATCCCCAACAGCAATTTGCAGACATCGCTTCACAGACTTGATTAAGGATTCACTACAACCATTCTCCCATGGAGCGTCCGCAGATTTGATGACATTCCATTCTACTTCAAACTTATCCAATTCCTTGCCTGCAGCTACTAGCTGTGTGCCTGCATCAGAAATCATTCGCTTTGGATTGCCACGAAGTGATACAAATCTCCTGAATACAACAAGGAAACTTCCTGTGTCGTAACCTTCCGCCAAATCGATGTACACACCCCTGCAATATAGGCAATTAAACAATACCCCATATGCCTTTCCATGTGTTCGTCTTTTGACTGTGTCACGTATGGTATATGGTCCAAACATATCAACGGCACAATTATAAAATGGAGGTGCTGGATTCAGTCGGAATGAAGGTAAAACACCCGTCTGTTGTTGTATTGTTACTTTATCCCGCTTTCTGCACACAACACAGTTATCCTTGACTCGTCTTATGATTTTTCGAACTCCGGGAATCCAATATCTGCTTCTGATTTTTGCTAACGTCACCTCCAATCTTGCATGATCTTCACCATGAACACTGCGCACAACTAACTCCGTAAACCGACCCTTTCTTGGCAGCAAAAAGAATTCTCTCTGGTTCCATGATTGTTTGATCCATTCAGCTATGCGTTGTCCAACGCAAACAACCCCATCTTGATTGATGAATGGCCCAAGTCTTTGAAACTTCTTCATGCAATCATCTGGTAACTTTTCCTGTGCGTGCTTAACCCAACTCCTTTCTGCTTCAACAGATGTCCCTGAAGTGATCTTGCTACAAATACCTCTAAATGTTTTCCATTTCACAATGGCTAAAACCATGCTGGTGACTCGAAGAAGCTTCTTCAGACTGGCAAACCGCTCTATGTCTATAACAGCGCATCCATTGGAAGAACGATTCTCAGAAGTGATTGACATTGTCACCCCAATAATATCAGGTATCTGATCGCTGTCTATGGTATTTTCTTGACTTATTGGCCAAAATTCAAATGGAGTTCTCAGAAAATCTGGCCCGTTTTGCCACTTAGAGTCAGTCCCTAAAGCACTTGCTACTGCAACCCATGTAGTCATGTCGGCAGGGTTCTGATCTCCTTGAATCCACCACCACTCAGTGGGATCAGATGTGCTTTGTATTTCAGCAACACGTGTTGCCACAAATGTCCCAAAGCCATAACTCTCTCGCTGTATTTGCGCTCTTACAATCATGGAGTCGACAATATGCACAATCTTACTGAATTTGAAATTCATTTCTGTTACTAGTTTTTGACGCAGCCTAGACGCAAGCACTGCTCCACAGAGTTCAAGACGAGGGGTAGACAACTGCTTTGCTGGTGCAATTCGATTCTTTGCTATCACTAGGCTCGATGCGTATTTGTCATCTTTGGTATGCCATCTGATATAGGCACATGCACCGTAGGCTTGCTGACTTCCATCCGAAAATATAACAAGCATTGGATCACCTTCTGTATTCTCCGGCATAAGGCATCTTTTGAATGTTAAATTCTGCAAATCATAAAGTCCTGTAAAGAACTGAACCCACTTGGCCCTCATATCTTCACTCATAGGCTCATCCCATCCAATCTGATTTTCTTTGGGACACATGGTCCTCATGAGAATTTTTGCAGACAATACATATGGAGCAACCAGTCCAAGAGGATCATATATGCCTGCAACTTGACTTAGAACCATCCTGCGAGTTAGACTGTCCGGAATAAGATGTAATTGTCCATCCTCGATATCATCCTCTGTATGCTTTCCACGTCTTTTTGGCGAAAAGTTCAGTTTTGCCTTGAACATCCAAACATCATCTTTGGGTAACCAAATCATTCCAAGAATGTTTTCCTGCTCGGCACATAACACATTCAATCCTGCAAAGTGGTCATCTTGATCACCAGAAACAATCCAATGTTTTACATGAAATCCTCCGCAGCTTAAAAGTCTTTCAGTGTTCAGAATTATTTCCTTGGCTTCACAAACAGTATTCACTGTAGTGAGTAAGTCATCCACATAACTGTTTTTGATAACAAATTTAGCTGCCTTTGGATATTCTTCCTGATTCATTTCTGCTGTCATTCGCAAGGCCATGGTAGAGATTGCTCCGCTGGGTCTATCTCCAAATGTGACTGACATTAAGACATAATGATCAGGTGGTCTGTCTATCTGCAAGTCCCTCCATACAAATCTGTGTGTATGCTGATCTCTTTCCGACAGTTTGATTGCGTTGTACATCTTCGTGATATCTCCAGCAATTGCAATTTTTCTTTGCCTAAATCTGATAATAACTCCTAAAAGGTCGTTCAGAACATTTGGCCCCTTTGCCCAGTATTCATTCAAAACATGACCCATATACGAGGACGATGAATCGAATACGATCCGCACTGGTGTAGTCTTGGAATTTGGTTTTAAGACTTCATGGTGTGGAATGTAGTGGATAGGTCCTGCATAAGTTTGCATCTCTTCAGCCGTTAATTTTCTTGCAACGCTTGTCTGCACCATATCCGCAATCTGGTCACCATATGCTTCACTGTACTCTTGTCCCGCCTTTTCTAAGCGCCTTTCCGTGCATTTCAACCGACATACCGCTGCATTGATATTGTTTGGGAGAGACTTTGGATCCTTAATCCATGGGTACGTAGTAGTCCAGTTCTTGCCCGCTTCATCGTACTGAAGTCCCTCCTTTATAAAATGTAACTCTTGTTCTTCCTTTAACGTGTAGCTTCCATTTCCAGGTGGACACTTCCCGCACCTGCAACTTCCACACTTTGGTACACAATGCGTTCCCAGACTTTCTATGTCGAAAAAATTGTCAACAGCATTCTTAAGGCTTTCATGGTTTAACCGTATTGGTTCGATTATCCTTCCAGAAGTATGATGAATGCACACAAGATTTGACTCCGTTGTAACAGGTACTCGTAACTTGGCGTGACTTCCTCTAATGCAGTGTCCAAATTGATTTCGCATCAATTGAAGATTTCCAATTTGATCAATTTTCTCAGGCAATAAGATGCAGCAATCAGCTCCTATAAGCAGGTCCACTTTTCCTTCTGGTCTCACTATATCTCCCTCTTTAATCCCTTTAAAGAATTTCACAACTCCATGAACATCCACTTTGAAATATCTGCTGTAATTTTGTTCATTCCATATACTTTAACTTGCCAGACCTTGCCATACATGTCTGTCAGTGGCAGTAAGTATTCTTTGCTTTGAATACACTCAGATGTGTTTCCCACCTTCGTCACTGATAATGTCACTTCACGCCCCTTGAGTCCAAGCTTCCTAGCTGATTCAAAAGTTAAAAGAGAAATATTAGCACCAGGATCCCATAGGGTGGTCAATGGGATATTACCACTCTCTATTTTGCTGATCATGAGAATGACTCCCTTCTTTCCCTGCTCTTCGTTAACAATGTTTACACTGTGATGATGTGCGCTCGCGTTCACTATCGCCCCATGTAAGAATGGATGATGAAATCTGCCGCATTTTTGTTGACGAAAATCTGTGATTTCACAGGGCTTTCTATTATTACATCTTTTTGATAGATGTCCACTTTTCAGGCAACTAAAACAAGCACCGTTTCGTTTCAGCAACTCCATCTTTGTTTCTCCATCAAGAGCAGAAAAAGCGGTGCAGTCCCCAATAGAATGATTGTCAGTCTCGTGATACCAACATTTTTTCCTGAAAGACATCATTTCTGGAAGCATCGTGTATTGCTCCCCTCTGTTTTCCATTAAGAAGCGCATCTGTCACTTGTGCTAATCCTTCAATCACCTGTTGCATTTTCTGTTCATTTTGCTGCATTTGACTCTGTATAACATTGACAAAAGAATCGTCAAATTTCTCATTTTTCTCGTGTGAGCTGGTAATAGTATGGATTTTTCCTTTACGAGAAACACTGCCATTATCACTTTCTCGAATATCCGAAGTCATATATTCAACTGCAGCTCTTTCATCCAAAAGGAATCTCATCAAATCAGAAAACGGTGTAGACTTCAGTCTAAGTTTCAGCAAAGCCCATTCTCTCTTCTGGATAGAGGGTAATAATTTCTCAATCTCACTGATCATGGTGGCATTGTCCATTTCTTTTTCCAAACCCATCTGCTTCAGAATCAACCAACATCCCTCCACTATCTCCACCATTTCTGTAAACTTTGTGCTGTCTCCCTCAGGAACTGCCTTCAATGCCCTTATGTCAGCCAGAACGGTGTCCGCCAACTTTTCCGGTCTTCCATACTTCAGATCAAGACGTTTAAACATTTCCTCAAAGTCATTATCTACTTCCTTCAAAATTTCAAAAGGCTCTCCAGATAAGGAATTCTTCAAAGCAAAGGGATCTTTTCCATATGTTGGAATCATGTGAGTAAAATAGTCTGACTTAAAACTCGGGTAATCTCGAATCTTGAAGTGTGGCGGATCTTATTTTTTCACTTTCAGGGATTGTTCTTTCACGCATTTCTCTTGCGATGTGATTTTCTTGGTAGTTGATTTGAGACAAAGGGACCTGGCCTTACACAACTCTTTGTATAAAGTGTTCATGTCATGGTTTGCTTCGTCCATCTTTGGTTTATCATTTTCATCATCTGAATCAAAGTTCTCTAGGTACTCACTATGTCGTACTTCCATATCTTTATATGACTGTTCCAAATCACTGAGCATCTGTTTGACAATATCTGATTCCTCTTCATCCTGAATTTTCTCCAAAAGGCGTCCATATATTCTGTGGAACCTTCCCTTTGCTGTACTTCGCTTTTTCCGTAACATCTTCCTAATTTCTTCTCCCATGTTCTCCAATGTGTTGAAATGTATAGCTCAGCAACAAATTAAACCATCTGTTGTAACGATTTATTCCAATGTTTCAACCTGAATTTATAATAAAACAAAATATAATCACATTATGACGATAACGTCGTTCCGTAGATTTTTCAGAGCAGCGTGGGTTATACTGAATGCCACTGTATAGTTTAACAACACAATAATTACAAATCTATATATAATCATTGGTCCGTACTTCGCGTTAGTCACAAAAACAGTGTCTACTCACACATTGATGGATCCAAAATTAATATTACTGAGCTATAATGTCACAAACACAGGATCGTCTATCCACAGGTAAACAAAACAAACTTCCGTTGACTGTAAACAATGAAAAATAATGTCCGACTCTAAAAGTTCCGGAATATCGTTAACGATACAGCAATCATCTAAGTACCTTTTCCAGTTCTCTTTAATGTACTGCGTAAAGTCTAGATCAAATGTTTCCGGCAAAACGTTGTAAAGTTTTTCTTCTAAAAATCCCATTACTAAACAGGCATATGTAGGGGCGACTTTGGTGCCCATGGCAGTACCTTTGATTTGTAGATAATTTTCATCATCAAACAGAAAATCATTATTCTCTAGTACAATTCTAAGTCCTTCTAAAATGAAGTTTGCGGGGAATCTATCGTCGATTTCTTCCGGATACTTATCCCACCAATATTTGATCGCCTCAATTCCTAACTCATGCGTAATATTAGTATACAAGCTGGTAACATCAAAACTAACAAGTAATGTTTCTCTTGGTACTGTTTGTGGAATATAGTTGAGGAAATCCATATCATCACGCACATAACTGGTCACTTTGGTACACAGTGGTTTTAAGATTATATCTAGTAGATTGCTTAATCTTTGTGTACTAGATGCGGGTCCTGCAATGATGGGCCTCAGTTTAAGATCATTTGGTCTAAGAAGTTTAATGTACGTAGAATTACATTTGTTGACATTTTCCTGGATTTCTTTACATTTGTGTATTTTGGGAAGACCATAAAAATGGCTAGTTTTAACTTCGAAATCCGTAAGGTATTCAAGTTCATTTTTCGTGAGATTACCTTGGTACTTCTTTGTGAGTTTTTGTATTTTGAGCATAGTTTGTCGATCTGTATTTTGCTCTAGTTTCTTATAGAACTGATTATCCTGGAGTTGAGATAGGGACATTTCTTTATAATGTTCTCTGTCCATAATTACTATAGCTCCTCCTTTATCAGCACTTTTTATGACAATTGTTTGGTCACTTTTAAGATTTTGCATTGCTTGATATTGATTATGTGGAATATTTGACGTTACCTTTTTATCCGCCATGTTGGAGTGAGCTGCCTTTTTGAGACATGAGATATAATCCTCCAAATGCTTATCTCTATTTAGCGGTGCCTGAAACCTTTCCTATTTTTAACCAGAGATATATCATCATCGGTTTTATTTTGAAAAAATTCCTTCAAGCGTAATTTACGGCAGAATTCTTCTGTGTCCTTAACGACATCAACCTTATCAGACTTTGGCGTAGGCGTGAATTTTAAACCATGTTCCAAAAGTTTTATTTCATCACTATTCAAGTCTCGTTGTGATAGGTTGATAATTTTGGGTTCTGTAGAAACTGTCTTCTCTGTGCTTTCAGGCCAGTTAATTATTTCTTCCGTTTCGTTTGGGACCAACCCTGTCCTAAAAAAGAATTCCTGGAATTCTGTAATGATTTACTCCTTGCGTCTCCCTGAGTTGTCCTTAGGCTTTATTGGCTCTTTCCCATAATTGATCTCATATTGTTTCAACCATGCAGATTTTGATTCCAATATCTTCTTGGATTTTTCCTCCTCCCGAGTAACATCGTTATTCCATAACTCCAGCAGTTTTTACAAACGTTGCCACTACTTCTTTTGTTTAATTCCTCCAGCATAATGGCGTCAGTATTTTCATACTTGTTTTTGTATTTCGGAACTCTGAGGCGAAGCAGTGTAATTTCAGCTTCAAATCTTTGAAGTGCTAGTTTGATCCGGATTTTGGTTTTTTCGCTTGGTTCTGTTGTTATTTCCTTAACTCGGAATTTTCTAGGAAAAATAACATTTTCACAGTTTTTCCATTCCTCATAGGTGTCGGCAATTATTAACAGCAGAAGACAAGCACCAAACCTGAAGAGGATATTAACCAAAGCAAAATTTTCCTCTAGCAACCAGAGTGTCGTCAAAAAGTGTAGTGACCCCCGATGTGGAACGTGTGATTTCATTCAGGAGGGCGAACAAATTACACTTAAAAACGGGAAAGTTTTAAAACCTAATACCAGTATGAATTGTAAATCATCAAATTTGATTTACTGTGCAACATGCCCAACCTGTGGCGAGTATTATATAGGGCAGACAAATCAACTTAACGCACGAGTGAGGGTACACAAGCAACATATACGGGACGAAACTGTCAGATGCACCCCTTGTTCAGAACATTTCGCCGAGTGTGGTAAAGGGAAATTTAAGATTTTCCCGTTCTATAAAATGTGGACATCGGATGAAATCGCCCGTGTTACCAAAGAGGATTACTTTATAAGACTTTTTAAACCAAAACTGAATTGCAAATGAGATTATGTATAATTCACAAAACTTATTTTATTGACAACGTTTTGAATTTTTTGTAACTGTCTGAATAGCCAACATGGCTGAAAGCGCTAACAGTAAAGATTTTATTTAATATGGACTGCAGCATTCTGTTTTTATTTATTTAAGTGTATATATATATATATATATATATATATATATATATATATATATATATATATATATATATATATATATATATATATATATATATATATATATATACTGTATACAGGGCTATTTTCGCCCCGTGTTATTTTCGCCCTTTTGCACTTGCGAACAGTTTTGCCCCGTTTTAAATTCGCCCAATCATAGTTCTGTTTAAGAAATTATGCTGTGTAATTTCAATTCGCTCCGTCTTAAATTCGCCCATTCAAGAAGAGGGCGAAAGGGGCGAAAATAAAACGGGGGCGAAAATTTCCCTGTATACAGTATATATATATATATATATATATATATATATATATATATATATATATATATATATATATATATATATATATATATGAATCCTTACAAACAAAGATACAGATACATTCTTGGTTCCAGAAAATGTTCAACCAAGCCTCTTTCTTTACTGCTCACTAACACCCCAACTCATGTAATTGTGATTTAAATTCAAGACATGTTGTTTAGGTTGATCTATAAAATTGGCAGTAAACATGATATTGCTATAGCCTGTTTCTTTTAAAAACATGTCCTGTAATAAATGTTTCCAGACCTTTCTGAAAGACTTTCATGATTTTCAACAGAAAAAGGGTGGCTGAAGGGGGGGGGGGTATGTTAAAATAACACTATATCTTATACTTTTCAGCGAAAATAAGGGCTTACTAGTGACCGATTTGCTGGTAAAAAAAATGTGCATTATAATATGACAAACCTTTGTTTGCCTTATATGGCTATTGTTATAAATGCGCACAGAGGATCTTACCACGAGCAACTGAACAACCGTTGAATGAATAGCAACGTATACGCTAAATACATGTTTACATTTTACTTCGAACACGTAGTTCAGGTCAATCTACGATCATGTTAATGGACTGCAAAATAGAAAAAATGTTCTTACGAACAAAATACAAAGATAAGAAACTATGACAGATGTTACGGGCGTTTTTAATTTGTTGTTAAATGAAAAAAATGTTTAATAAAATGTAGTTAGTGTCAAGTTCAGAACACCAGCGCTTCAAGAGTAAGGAAAACTAGCAGCATCTCTTGTGCATTTAAATTGACAAAACTTTGTTTACGTTCGTGATCACGTGTTCGGTCAGGGAATTCACCTGGCAATTGTATTCACCGATAGTACAACAAAGGAATTAATACGTACAGACGCAAATTGCTTTTGCAGTATGACTTTCAGAAACCTAGAATTCCGCCGTTTATTTAACAAATGAATTGTTTGTCATAATGAGCATGAAAATAATATTTTTAAAAATGCTTTTCATTTACCGTAAGATTTTCCTCTTTTCAAGCGTAAAATTCCTGTAGTATTCATAGTAACCCATAATGCAATACTCATTCAGCTGATTGGTCAGTTAAAATCATGCTGTTGCCCAATTTGCTTATCTGACGCCAAAACTATAGTTTCGGTTCCCATGCAAAAATATTTATCCAAAAAGAAATTTTAATTCATGCAGAAAATTATAATAGAGAGAATACTTATTTAAGTTTGAATGAATGTTAAAGAGATCGATTGATTGAGGTACATTTCTACAGACATTATCAACTGATTCTAGGGTTGTGAAAACTGAAACACAACATAACTTTTCTCTTTACCTTGCCTCTACGTGCTAGTCACTTCCTAGCCATATTTCCGAGAATAATTTACCCTATCTCGCTGAAGTCTCGCTAACTCTCGCCAGAGCCACTGCCAGAGCTACTCTGAACTCATCGGGTTTATAATTTGCAGAACACCGAAAAATAACAGGTTCCGAACACAGTAGTAGGGGTGACTAAGATATTGACAGACGTGAAGGAAAAACTTCAAGAGTACTGCGCAACAATATATTCAAGAAGTGGCGTGAATCAGATGTGGATACTCAAAATTCCAAAGAATTTTTGGACAGTTTGAAATCACAAGATTTTACCAAAATCAACATGTTAAAAACTTTCGACTTTTCAACTTTATACACCACCATTCCCCACGATAAATTAAAGTCCAGGCTTTTTGATATCATTGACAGCAGGTTTTTCAATAAAAATGGAACCCGTAAATTTACTTACTTGGTCATCGGTCATTTGCAAAATTGTTTTGTTAAAATACATTCTGGTTGCACACAGTACTCTGAAGTTGACATCAAAAAGATGCTTGAGTTTCTGATTGACAAAATCTATGTGGTTTTTGGAGACCAGGCCTCAGGATCATGAAACAAACTTAGACTTAATTCAAATTTTCAATCACCTATGAAATATTTACTTATTATGGAATTTTTCTAAATTTGGAGATAACAACACTTCTGTGAAGCAATATTGAAAAATATTTTAATTCTGGTCTGATAGACTTCTACAACATTTTATTATAAATTAAAGATTTTGACTTAAGCTTAAGATGTTTCATGATCCCGGGGCCAGGTCTTCCAACAATATATTGGAATCCCAATGGGTACCAATTGGGCTCCAATATTAGCAGTTAATACCTATTTCATACGAAGCAGAATGTGTGCAAAGTCAACATTTAGATATATCGACGACGTATTGTCAATTAACATTAATAATTTCCATTCCTATGTCGACACGATATATCCTGATGAGCTTGAAATAAAAGATACCACAGATTCTGACACATCTGTTTCATACTTGGATATTTTTTTGAAAAAGACGTTAATGGTAATCTTACAACCAAGCTATATAATAAACATGATGACGAACTTTTTTATCGTCAAATTCACTTACTTATGCAGCAATATACCTTCATCATCTTCATACGGCGTTTATATATCTCAGTTGATTCGATATGCAAGAGCATGCTCTACGTATGAACAATTTCTAAATCGAGGCAAATTATTGACAAACAAGTTGATGAAACAAGAATATCAGCAGTCTCGTATAAAGTCATCATTATTTTCTAAAGCTCTTTGGTCGATACAATAACACTGTCAGCAAATACAATTTATCATTGAGTCAAATGCTTACGTTTTTCATACTTAGTGTTAGTCTATTATTTATACACTGATTTGACGACGGATTTTTCCGTTATTTCCCGATCATAACAAGGAGCATACGGCGGGTGTGTCCAGTCAGCAGGGAATGCTCACTCCTCCATGGCACCTGATCCCACACCTGATGTTTTAGAGGTCCGTGTTTGCTTTGCTCCTGTTTTGTATTGTTTTATGGACTTTTATATATTGAATATTGTTCGTTATCTTCATATCCTTCATTTACATCTGAAAGAATTAGTAATTCATACAATCAAGCAAACAAAGGATATTTTTCTTATTGACTAATTATAAGAATGGAATTTATCAATCAGTGTTTTAACAATTCACAATAAATATAAGATCATTCAATTTTTGGTGGAGGTTCAATCATCCATTTGCCGGTGTAGCATATTTTGCATTTGTAAGTTTGGACTGAATGGTTATTGGAACCAGAAACCATGTTTCAACGAAGATACCCTTTTATTTTACTCTTTATAAATACGACAGATTAAATTATTCTCAAGAACAGAAGTATAAGAAAAATATCTTATTTTTATTTATCCAATTTTGGCCACATCACTCTCCTGAG